GTGTGTGTGTGTGTGTGTGTGTGTGTGTGTGTGTGTGTGTGTGTGTGAGTGTGACTACTGAGAAATCAATACGTCTCAGAGATTGCCTTCCACTGTCCTGCTGGAAGTCATAGACTCTGGTGATTTTTAGATCAGGACAGGAGAGGAGAAGCAGGTCTAGGACTAAGGTGTCAGGATAGCAAGGCCCAGAATGAATTAAATGACACTTTACACCATTTAAGAACCTCAGGCTTATAGGGACAATTGGTATCTCTTTGAGAGTATCAAAAATGCCTTTTCTTTTGTATTTACCTTGATAGCCTTGTGTAGTATTTGTAAGTTCCTGTTCTTTTAAGAGGCCAATTTTAAAGTTAAGGATGGAGATATATATATGTGTGTGTATATATATATATATATATATATATATACATATATATATATAAAATTAAAATCCCAACCATAGTCACTTTAATTTATTATTGCAAGGGTTAAAAATATTTTTTGTTTCATAATTTTCTTTATAGCTTGATAATTTAATGTATATTAAATATGAAATTATGCTTTAAAATGCTCTTATATTCATTTGATTTACATTTTATAATGCTTTTTTGTGTGCTGTAGTGCAAACTTGGATGAGGAAGCACAGGCTGGTACAAGTTCACTGCAGGTAATGTTGGACCACCATCCAGTTGCTATTACAGTGGAGGTGAAGCAAGAAGAAGACATTAAGCCCCCTCCTCCACTGGTTTTAAATTCTCAACAGAGTGATACTTTAGAGCAAAGAGAAGAACATGAATTAGTACATGTTATGGAAAGATCTTTGTCACCGTCACTTTCCTCTGTTGATATGAGAATGACATCGTCTCCATCTTCTATCCCAAGGAGAGATGATTTTTTTCGGCATGAAAGTGGAGAAAATTTTAGGTCACAGTTAGGGTATGATCCTCAGATTCTGCAAATGCTGAAAGAGGAGCATCAGATAATTTTAGAAAATCAAAAAAATTTTGGATTATATGTTCAGGAGAAGAGGGATGGATTGAAAAGAAGGCAGCAGCTAGAGGAAGAGCTGCTAAGAGCAAAAATTGAAGTGGAGAAGCTGAAAGCAATTCGCTTACGGCATGATCTATCTGAATATAATAGTCTCTAAGATTTTTTTTGCAGTCTTGCAATTTGATAATTTTAATTTTGGCCAAATTACTTTCATTTGGGAATATCCTGAAGCAGAGTACATATTCTTTTTTTTTTTTGTGGCCATGCCGCACGGCATGTTATGATCTTAGTTCCCTGACCAGGGATCGAACCCACACCCCCTGCAGTGGAAGCACAGAGTCTTAACCACTGGACCACCGGGGAAGTCCCAGAGTACATATTCTTAAAAAATATTGTTAATCTCTATTATGAAAAAGGCTTTTTTGACAGGATTTTCTAATTAATTAATTTTCCTTTGATATATATTAAAACGCTGATTGGTATGGTTATAAATTTTTTTGTCTTCCTCTAATTTTTTTCCTAAGATGTTTTAATTGTTGGCCTTACAAAAGATGTTTTATTTTGGTTATTAACATATATATAAATAACATATATAAATACATAAGTATTCTTTCAAAGTTCTGAATCTTCAGCATTTTTAATTAGCACTTTGAAAGCTGTATGTAGTTCAAAGTTTTTAAGTCAATCTAATTTAGAAGCAATACTAGCCTAATAGAAGCTTGTCTGTATGACATTGATTTTTATGCTTTCATTCTTTGACAGAGTAAGTCCTAGGATTTTAGGGATGGAAGGTATTTGGAGAACACTTTTTCCCACCTCAGTTTTGAGGTAATGAAACCGAGGTCCAGGGAGAACTCAATGATTTACTTGATGTAACAAAGCTCTTTATGGCAGAGCAATGACCAGCACTCAGTTTTTGTTTCTCTGTAATTTTTTTCCCCCTGCCATTCCACAGAAGTAAAAATCCACAAAAATATCCTACATGTTAAAAAATTAGAAACATTTATTTCATTAAAATTGCTTTTAAAAATTGGTGGGTTATGAAATCAGGGGAATTGTGTCAATTACCCCCTTCCTCCTCCTCCTTTTTTTGTCCAGCAAAATAAGATATTCTGTTGGAGCTGTTATATATTTTGACTACAAGATTTAATACGTCAATTCATTTGCAATGTCTTAGTCTGAAAAAGATTTCTTTCACAGTAAAATCACAGTAAAAACTTAAATGAACAAAATTAAAATTTTATTTAGAATAAAAATAGCAAAAATTATATGTTTATAATTTATGATATCTATAGTCTTTTATGTTTTTGTAAATATTGCTATTTTAATATTTGTGGAAATAAAACCTTGATTCTTAAAGCACACATAGACATTTATGTTAAATCTTTAATATGTTTATTACTTAAGGATTTCTATTTTTGCTGGGACTGTATTGAGGAAGGATATTCAAGCCAAGCTTTAGAATGGGGTAGGTAGGATTTCAGCCGTATTGGGGAGAAAGGATGTTTATGCCAGAGTGAGCAGCATGAAAAAGGCATAGAGAATGAGAAAAAGTGGGTCAGAGTGTATAAGCACAAATACAGTGCTAAGCCAGGTGATTTTTAAGTGATTTTAAGTGAGCATAGGGCCAATTAGGGCTGTGATAATCTGGACAAGGACATATACCTTGACTAACTGGTGTAGCTACCCTTGAGCTCCAGCAGAATTTTTACATGCAGAAATGAGCCAGAAATCTGCATTTTTATGAGAAATTTTTATTTGTAAAACATTTGCAAATAATTAAAATTATTTAAAATAATAAATAGACGAAACATGTGAATGGGCCTCATTCAGCCAGTGGGCTTTCGGCTCATGGCCTGTGGTGTAGAGCAGTGGTTCACCAAGAGTAGACCCTGACCAGCAGCATCAGCATCTCTTGAGAACTTGTGAGATATGTAAATCCATTCCTTTCGGATCAGCAACTTGAGGGTAGAGTACAGCAATCTGTTTTAATAAGTTCTCTAGAGATTCTGTTGCAAGCTAAAAAACCACTCAAAGAACCACTGGAATAGAGTATTTTGAAACCTAACATGGTGCCTAAATCATATTAGATTTTCAGAAATTTTTGTTGAAGAGTGGGTGAAGGTAAATTGAGGGATATCAATTTGGAAGTTGGAAGCTGGTTGGTGCCACATTATGGATTACATTAAATGCTGTTTTTAAGGAATCGAAAGTGAATATATAATGGCAAGCCATGGAAGGCTTTTGACTAGGGACATATGACTAGAGCTCTGACTTAATGTCATAATAGCAGCATTTCAGGGTGGGCATTGTAGTGAGGGGAAATTAAATCTGAAATTTAGGTTATGGCTATAGGAATAGAAAGAATAAAAATAAAACGGACTCTTACAGTACTGTTTTAGCTTGTTGACTGCTTAATTTCATTGGTGTTTTGTATCTGCTGTTAGAGTTAAGTATTTTATTATAAAAATGCCTTGAATGTATGATATATCCTTTTGACAATTTCATCTTTAATCTGTGCTTTGACTTTTCTTTCAGTCTAATGAATCTTATAATTCTTATTTGAGGTAATGTTTTTACAATATTATTCCAGTAAATCTTTAAGGTAGTAAGCTTTAACTTTTTGAAATGATTGAAAGCAAATTACCATACAAAATGTAATTCATGTTATAATCTTAGCATGGTACTACTCAGAATTGTTAATGAATGTTCAATTTGAATGCTGACTTTGTACAGCTAAATCAGTTTTCCAGGTGTGTTCTGTGGAACATTAATTCTGTGAAATGTTTTTAGCCAAGTTATGTGTTCAGAAAAGTGCAATATACATCTTTTTTGGTGGTTAGATTCTAATATAAGTGTGGAAGCTAAAAATGTATACTATATAAAATTGCCCTTGAAAACTTTTTTGCTGCCCAGAAAATAGTGTAAACATAGTCTGCTACAGTCTATTTTTCTCCAGCAGTGTTCAAGATTGTTGTTTCGTTGCTTATGTCATGTGACAGACTTGTTAGCATGTAGGGACCGAGTAGAATAAAAACCTTATTTTACATATTTTTAAACAACAGAATTACACTCATTGCAGTGAGTTTACTGCAGCAGTTTTTCTGAGTCAATCTTGTTTAATTTTAATCTGCAAAAATTAAAGTGAATGTGGTTCTGCTCCATTTTCATTGCTCCATCTCCCCACCTATGCAATTATAATTAGCATAGTATAGTTCATGGGAATTTCTGTGTAAAGAAGACTTGTTTGATGACTGAACTCTTTTTAGAGGCTGTTTATTATTATCTTGCAGAGTATCTTAGGGAAATTATGAGCTAAAGCTTTTTTCTTTTTCTTTCTATATTGAGACTTTTTTGAGTTTTTGACTACTTACCAACTTACATTAGCAGTTTTTGCTGAGGACAAGTTTCACTAAGGGGAATATATAAGGGCAAATTCTATTAGTACCAATGGAATACAATTGAAGCCACCAGACATCCTACTATAGAGAACTGTTTGGGGCTGTGAGTTTACTTACGAAATGTAATGCTGGAAAAACATAGGAAAGAGTGTTTTTATTTTTAAAATGTAGACTTGGTTCTGTAGAAATACTATTTCATCCAATATATTAGAAATTTAGATAGTGCCTAGTTATTCTTGCCACCTTCTTGTCTTTTCTTATCCATTTGAACTTAAATGGATGTTTGTTTTTTTACAAGTTATGATTTTATAAACCTAGGTATGATTTATAGTGACATTCTGAAAAAGTTAATGAAGCTCTTTCATTTCTAACAAATGCCAGATTTCTTAAAATATTCAAATTAAATATTTTCCTTTTTTGTATAATGCGACATCAACTTGGTGTTATTTTATTTTTGAAAGATTCACTCTACCCTGTTGCCTCTTTACTTACATGAAAATGTTTGAAATATGAATTATTTTCCATGTGCCTTCTTTTAGAGTAATGTCAAGTTTTAAATAGATATGTTTAAATAATTAAGTGTGGTAAATTGTAATTAATATATACTGTAGATGATAGTGGTTAAATGTGTTGTTAATACATGTTCTTTTAAATACATGGTAATACATTGTACTATTTGTGTGTGCCATGAAACAAAGAATTCAGTACTATAGAGGTAAATTTTTTTGATGAGGCATAATTGAAATATATTTCTTTAGGTGATATAATAGATGCCAAATGTACCATGTCTAAATTTCATAATATATTTATTTTTTTCAAATGTTAAGATTCACAAATTCTCAAAATCAATTAAATATTTGATGGTGACTTTGATTGTAAATAGTTAAAAATAATTAGATGAAATATGGTTGTAGTACTTAACAAATACAAATACAAAAGAGTAAATTCTTAAAATATGCAACCTAATTAAACATTAGCAGTCATGCTAGATCTTGTATATAATTTTGAGAAATTGGTTCCGTATTTTTTAATGTCTCTTCTTAAAGTTGTTTCATTAAAAGTAGCAGCTATAATGTGAATTTATATAATTTATTTTTAGTTTTCAATTCCTTTGTAAATAGTAGAAAGCAAAGTAAATAAATAAATAAAAATACCACCCAAGTTAGCCCAAACAATTTAAACTAAAATGGATGTATCATTAGACTTACACTTTGTTAGTAGATCTTTCATGAGTGTGAATTCACCTCTGTTACAAAGATTAAGAAATCCTTCAAATGTATAGAAACGAAAAAATTTATAGTAAACATTCATATGCCTACCACCTACATTCTACAATTAATGTTTTGCTGTATTTGCTTTATCACATGTTTATCTGTCTATCCATCCATACATTTTTTATTTTTTAAGAAAACTTATTTTAAAACAAGTTGCAGAATTAGAATACTTTACCCATAAACACTTCAGCATGAGTATTATGAACTGGAGTTCAATATTTATTTGTGTGTTTATGATTTTTTAGGTAAGATTTACAAACAGTGAAATGCACAAATCTTAAATGCACCATTTGATGAGTTTTGACAAATGACTACATCTGTGTAGCTTAAACCCCCATCAAGATTTTAAAAGTTATCACCCCAGAAAGTTCTCTCCTGCCCTTTCCTAACCAATACCCTGGTACCTCAGGCAACCACTGTTTTTAAAAAAACACTAATTTCTAAAAAAACAGATAAGTTTTGCTTGTTCTATGACACAGTATAATTGAGATCATATATAGTATAGATCCTTTGTTTCTGTTTTTTTCACCCGTCTTAATGTTTTTAATATTCATCCATCCTCTAATCAGTAGTTCATTGTTTTTTGTGGCTGAGTAGTATCCATTTTATAAATATACCACAGTTTGTTTATCCATTATCTTTTGACGGACTTCTGGGCTATTTCCGGATTTTGGCTGTTATGTATATTATTGTATAAATGTGTTATGGACTTAATGCTGGATTAAGGAAGATATATGTTTAACTTTTTAAGAAACTGCCAGACCTTTTCTCAAAGTGATTGTACCATTTTACACTTCCCTCCATAGTGTATGGATTACTATTTTTTTAAATAAAGCTTTGCGTGTTCATTGATTGGAATGTCAGAATTGAAATTGATGAATAACTTTTTTTGATATTTAAATGAATTTAAAATGCTGGGCAGATAGTTTAGATATCTGGGAATATTATAGTTTTACTGATTTTTTTTCTATTTTAGCACTTTTTGCCACTTATTGCATATATGCTTTGACATGAAGTACTGAGAAATATGATAAAATGTATATATAGTCCCTGCCATGCTCATGAAGTATCATTCTGAAAATGATCTTTAATGCAAAGAAATAACTTCTACGTTTATTTTGTACGTAATGATACTTGTACTTAGTTGACCTTCATTCTGTTTTGTTAAAGAAAACTGGATGATTAGCAGTTTGAAGTAATTTGTATATTAATGTTTGTATATTTTTTAGTGTAATAAAAACTATATGTTTTAAATCTTATATTTATATTGCAGTTATATGTTAATGCATATTAAAAGTTCTGGTAGCTTTTGGTAATTTTGAAACTCAAAAAATACAGTCTGCAAGAGTATTTACATTTTTTATTGAATTTGATGATATATGAGATTTTAAATTTTATTTGCTCCGTTGAAAACAGTGTGTGTATTTAGAATTGTTAAAAAAAAAAAGAATATTAAAGGCTTGGGTTTATGGAATGTATAATTAAACCATGCAACCCTAGAGTTACTATGCTTAGGACTCATTCATTAAGATGATAATGTCCGGGCTTCCCTGGTGGCACAGTGGTTGA